AACGACGCGGGGTATTATCCTGCCACTTTTTCCGACCGTGCTCTCGCGTCGGATAAGATCTCGTAAACGAGATCGAAACTGGCCTCTCCCACGCAGACATTATGCCGTCTTAGTTGGGCCATTTACTGCCCATACACCTTGTGTATACATGCTTCCACATGCGAAACAGTCAACGATCGCGAATAAATTTCAAGCCCCGGAGACTCGCGTGGGGGACCACATACGCGTCCACCTCGGCCATTCAGAATGAAAAAATTGAAATAAAATTTGCTATCCGTACTTTACACCAGAGACTTTATAACTTTCTTCGGCGCTGATATCAGCGAATAAAACATTTGCAGAGCTTATCGTTGCGATTCCATCGAACCATATACCATGGAAAATGTCTCAACGATTTTTCATCTCGCGAGAAACTACATTGTTATCGGTAAATTGAATTATGCTAACGCTACGAGCGAGGCGTACGAAATTACATTATCACCGACACTCTTTCTCTCTCTCTCTCTCTCTCTCGAAATTTCTAGAAAGATCGTGTATACGAATGATTTCATTCGTTCAATTTCATTCGCGTGTCTGGTAACACGAGAGACGATAAATAACGTCAATGTAACCGAAGCCCACTTATTCTATACGCTGTTCTAATGTCTTTTGGCGAGGGCGTTGGTTAGTAAGCTGTCGTTTCTGCGAAAGAACCACGAAAACCGGACGAGTTTCGAACCTGTAAAGGTCTCGCACCTGTCCGTAAACCGTTCTCAGCTCTCCCCATCCGTTGTCGACTCGTCGTCGTCGGCGGCTCGTTCCTTAAAAGGAACGCGTGGGTGGGCTACCTCCTTGCATAATTACGTGCGTGCAACTCCCTCCTCGTGGGCCGTGGAGAAATTCCAGGCAAGTGGGCAACTGGACCTCGTGCGACGACCGTTTCCAACTTTTCCATTGAAATAACCACGTGATGAATATTCCATGAGAAAGTCGCGAAAGAATCGCAATCATCGTCGATCGGGCTTCTCTAGCGCCATACGCAACATTGATTTCTCGATGGCGTATTCCAACGATCAGTTCTCGGTTTTATCTCGCGTTCGACACGGATGCCGGTAGAAATTGAAAATCTGATATTACCCGATACATTACAATCGTCGGAAAGACAACTCTCCAATGCAAACTGGTTTCTCGCGATAATATCCAAGGAAGACGGACAGCTGGCGATACTCGTCAAGGAACAAACGAGAAAACTCGCGATAGCGCATGAAGTACAACCAGATCTCGCCGGTAATTTCTATACGAAGAATGTCCGGCCTATTTACGACCACCCTTTAACAAGAGCGTACCAGACAACAGACGCTTTCTGGTGAAGTTGAACACGTAATTACAGCTCTGTTTCTTCCTACCTGTCCGCGAACAGGGACTCAAAAGCAACTAGGGGACTAGAACAGCGAGCGTCATCGAGCGGTGCACGGAAATGGCAGTGATCCGTGATCGCGACCTGTTCCAGAGGGTAGATTCATTGTACGCCCAGGATTTAGTGGAATTCAAAAATACGAAAGATACAACCTTGCGAAAATTACATGCCACGCGATTTCACGCGATAAACGTTGAATACGGACCATTTACGTACAGAACGATTTCCTTATCTTAGATGGTACGTAGGATCTTGGAATAATTATACAATTGCTTGTTGGACATTGAAGAAGCCATTCGGAGTATTTTCACTCAACGAATTAGCTAAAATTATTATTTTCGCTAACGTTTTAATTATTGGCAAGGTAATTGCTACAGGATAAGTATTTTACTATATTTTGTTTAAAATGTCATCAGGTTATTGTTGAGGTATAAAAAATAGTATACTTAAGAGAAATAAATATCAGAGGTACCATCGTTAAGAGGGTGTATGTGTGTGTGTATAGAATAAAAATTAAATTTTTCTTCTTAAACGCTGATACTCGCGAAATTGCTTCGTTCAACGTCCATCGAATATTTTTCAATGTAGAAGCGGACGATCGATATCTGTCAAGGGTCAGCGCAATATCGTGTACAGAAGGCCGAGCTACCCTTCGAAATTGGCATATGGCACGCGGCGATGAGGGAAATATGTATATTAAAATGCATTACGAAGGCCCATGGTGGTCCAAAGTGACGGCGAACGAATAAAAGTATTCAACTCAGTTTTATTGTGTCACAGGGTCCATCGTGCGGTGTATACAAATCAGAAATGACGGTTAACTTTCAAACAGACGAATTCGCGTACCATCTGTTTCGTTCATCGGTCTACCGACGTAACAAGCGAGCAGCTACAATATATCGATGAATTCTATATTTTTGAATTGTACAATATTCCAATAAAGTATAATCGTCGGACAAAATTGAACACGCTGACAGAAGAACTTTCCACGTATTAATTTGAAAATATATGTCTGAATGACTAAGAACATTGCATGCCTATCGAAGCATATCTCTCATGTATGATTCGCAACTTTTAATCGTCCATCCATTATCCTCGGATGCCTACCTGACTCAATCTCATAAATTATCTAGCTTTCAGGTAACAACGGAGCTAACTGCAATATTTCAAACTATTATAGACAATTTAGCTGAAATTTAACTTTTAGATCTGATCCTATTAATTTGCCTAGCTCGTTTCCTTGAATTACCTCAGAACATCGTCAACTCTGCTTGATGTCTAGTCTGCGATTTAAATACACCAAACATCCAAAATAGAGTACTCGTTATAGTTTTTGATGGATAAAAAGAGGTCTTATTTACTTAAAAGTGTAAGAGCTTTTATTCTGTTTGAATAAAAACTAATTCTAATTCTACCGTTGCGACCATAAAAATATACAAATATTTGCATAAAAATCCGTAGTCTATCGATGGCCAACGCAATCTGAACTGTTAAATTAGACGTTGTATGTCAAAAATCAGCGTACGGTAGGAAGAAAAAGAATAGGAGGATTAAATGTGACAATCTTCCTACGTGTTCAGAAAAAATTCACATGGTGCAAAGGTGATACGGTTACTCATACATTGCAACACAACGTCTCTGATGACAAGCTGTTTCCTACACGTTGTGCTCTTGACAGCATTGAATATTCTTAGCACGAGCGTGCGGATACCACTGGAATTTCGGAGTCCTTCAGAGTCGCGAGCTTAGAATAATCCATAGTCTTTTCGTGGGCGTGGACCAAAATGTATGAGAACAGGAGGCCCTCGGGGGCTTGAAAGTCACCTTAAAACGTGACCGGAAGAACAAAGGCTTCAATATCGCCACGAACGTCTCTTTCTTTTTCTCTCAATCTCCTTACGGCGTCGAAAATTTTCAGTTTCCATTTAGCCTTAATTACCTTTCCTGTGTATCGCGTTTATGGTACGCCGTTTGACTGACGTTTAAAACGCTAATTAAGTATTGTTAGCCCGGAGCAGATTTGTTCTGGCATACTAGTTTTCTCCGCTCCTAGAAATTGACCGTTTTAGTTCTAACTCTCTGTGATCTTGCACGTGGGAATGCATCTGGTCGGTGTGGCGTTTCACGAAAATCGAGACTACGAACCAAGATACGCGTGTATACAACGTTTCTGTTGTGTTTCGTACCTAATTTAGAAATTACAGACGTTGCACCGTCGACGATATTATAAATAGGTGGAAAAGACGTTTATCACGAATGGGAAAGTGTACCGTGGTATTATCGGTATCTGCTCGCCCGGTTATGACTGCGATTTAACGAAAATTGTTCTCTTTCTCTTTTTCTTCGCTTATCGAAAGGTTGAGATACATTCGCATGACCAGTCACGGAACGTTATATTACGTCGTTAAGCATTCAATAAACGTATATTAATAATACAACCGATAAATCTACGTTTACCCGTGTTACTGTACGAATGACCGAATCGATACCGATAAACTGCTATTTACCAACTATCCGCGCGGTCGTTTAAATTTTCCGCTTTCACGAAAGCATATAGCTACGCGCTCATCGCGCCATGCTACGCACGACAAATTCACGAGAATATTCCGTAAGTGGATTTATAGGCGTACGTCGCTCGCATGCGAATGCACCCGCAGATCTGCCGCGATGTACTTGTCACGAACTTAATACAGCCGCCCCTGTCTGCTGGAAATGAAATTCGATATATTTTGCCTTGTTAAACCTCCGTCCCATGAATACGTGAATTCAGTGGTAGAATTATCTTGGGATTATATGGAATAATCTGGCGCGAAGAGTCAGCTGAATTTCGTCGACCTCCGAACAGTATCGGGAACAGAATCGAAAGATATTTGAAATCGAAGCGTACTATACGTAATATCGGGACTGTGGATTTTTGCGAATTTATGGGAAACTCAAAAGCGTAGAAACGTTTAAATATCACGTTGAACGAGCAGAAAGTTACATACGTTTCTTAATGAAACACTTTGTTTGTAGCTGGTACGCGCATGGAAACTCGAACCGTTTCGGTTGAAACTAGAAAGGCAGTTACAACTGAATGTTGCTAGTTCTTAGCAGACAACCTGGCTGTTACGATTTCATTCTGTCCAGCGAATATACATGGAGAATTTTAATGAACGCGAGAACTTTAAAAATCCGATAGCCACATCTCCTGACGTCTGATCTTATCGTTCGTACTTCCACGAAGCTCTACATCCGTCGCTTGTTTCGCCTTGTAATCAAACTTGATCTCCCTTAGTAGGCGACAACTGTTAAACTTGGGGAATGCAAAAGTATGCGACAGTATATATTTATAAGTATAAATTTGCAAGTACCGTGGAAGTAGTTAAAGTTTAAAAGTATTTAAACGTCAAGGACAGAGAATTAACGTTTTCAAAAATAAACTATGCTTCCATAGTTAACTATTAGCCGAAATACCGTAACAAAGCATAATTATTTCTTAATAAAGGAAAGAGAAATAATCGACGATTAAATCAATTTCAAAATAATCAGAATCACGGATAAAATTCATTCCACATCATGCGCAACGACCTGACGTATAATTGGCATTTTCCTTCCTGTGCAGGCGACATCGACGATTGCCTGGTTGCCCCAGTGGCCCAAGGACAATTCACACCTCTACCGGAAGCTCTTTGTTGGGCCATTTTGGAGTTGACTTCTCAGAGGCAAGCTGCCACGCTCGACACGCTCAGGTCCGCCCTTAGGAATGCATTTCCGGCGATGCAGAGACCGAGCCGCGAATTAGTTTACGACGCCCTCGCGAAACTCATGCAAGAACGAAAAATTTATCACACGTCACAAGGTTACTTCGTCGTTACGCCCGAGACCAGGAGGCTGAGGCGCGATTCCAGCAACTCTAGGAGATGTTCCAGAGAGGTGAGCGGATCGAGAGGTCAGGGTAGCATGCTCATGTCCAACGACGAAGCTATGGCGCTCGTACACGGTGAGATGCTAACCCTGAGGGACGGCGACGTGACGCATCAAGCTGTGCAGACGAATCTCGCAGACGTTATTTGCGGAGGTAAGAAATCTCTGAGCTCACAGAAAGTTCTCTTACTTTTCTATCAGGTTTCATCGCGAAACTTCATCGACAAGAAAGATTGAAAATCGTGTGGAATTTGTTTTTCAATTTCTTTTATAATACACAAAGGCTAAAGAACACAAGTTACTACTAATATTACTAATTGCAAGAGAATTATTGTTGGTGTATATGATACATGTTGGTGCAAATTTCAAATGAAATAGATTTACGTAAACTGCACGTAGTTTCTTCGAAACATAGTACATGTATTTAATGAAAAGTAATATCCACGTGATTCGACGCGCTTTCCCAAAGACTGACACAATTACATTATTCGATTTTCAGTATCAGTCCTCGAATTGAAGAACTCTTGGATTGAAGTTTTTTCTCCATTTATAGCTTCATTTAAAATAATTTTGTATATTAAAACATCATCCGGGTCGAGTAAAGGATGTCTTTAACCTTCCCCAAATGCTATGTATTCGGTAACTTTCATCTTATTTCTTGCAAGTTTTTTAAGTTCGTATAAAGAAACTTAAATATTCTGATTATTCACGGTGGTCGATAGAAAGATCTTAATATTTCTTTGCGTATCCTCTTTGCGATAATTATACGTGATATTTAGCAATTTTCTTCTTCAACCTGATTCGTAATTATTGACAATGGGAAAATACGTTTTTAATGACCGACATCCGTTCATCGCTCGTCTAAAGTTTGGCGAAACGTTTCATATAAATTGCTACATTGAATTCAAAATTTAGAGGACCGTCACACATACGTATCGACTTTTAATGAAACGTACGTAAGTACGAGCGAAAATACCTAACAAAATCGCGAATTTTCGTGCAAAAGATTAGCCAGGAAACGAAGTTTCTCGCGTCGCGAAGGAACTTAATCGCGGAGAGACTGGTCGATCGTGGCAAACTCGTTCGGCACGTGTTCGGGGATCGTTCCGAGTGTCCAGGAGTAGTGTTCGTTGGCTCGGCTTGCACCGGCAGATCTTTTTCTCTAAACTCGATGGACGAGTCCAGTGCGTTTATGTTGTTGTCGTCCTTGGCAGCCACGCAGTCCCGCAGCGGAAGACGGTGCATTCCTACGCCGGATCGGATCGAAAAATTGTCGCGATTCGATTTAAATTGCGCCACCCTTATCTTGGTATTTAGAGTGGCTGTCGTCTCGGTGGTGAATTTATACCAAGTGGTATGCTTTAAAATTAGAAATTCAAATGGAAACGCATATTACCAGAGGACTATATAAAGAAAAGTCTTCTTTATCGAGTATCGTGCGTGCTCTCTCGCTATGGTCAACGCGATTTCAGCATTGTACGATAATACTCTTTCCATATATTGCCCTGTACTATCAGCGTTTCTCCATTGCCATCCGGTAATAGCTAAAATATCGCGTGCAGCGATGTTACATTGTTACCCGCGCCATTGATCGCCGCCAGACACCATGAATCCTTGCATGCGATCGTATTTGCTAGCTTGAAAGCACGCTTACGTTTCGTCCACGTCGAAGTCTCGCAGTTGTAGTTGTGATCGTCGTTGTTGCTGGTCGTGGTCGTGGTCGGTCAAAGTTTTGGAGCCGCGCAAACTGGAATTTTCTGGCGCATTGACACGGAAACACCTTCAGCACCTTGCATGTTTCGCCTCTTACATACATCAGCACGTGTATGGAGGACGTACACGCGAGCATCGGTACACACAACAAGAAGAGAATAGCGTCCGTGCCAAGCCGACGATCCCTGGAAAGCGTTTAGCACAGCCGATATATTAGCTATTGGTCACGACAATGTCTACCGTTACACACGCTGTCGAGATCACGTGGG